ATATGTTTTGGGGTATTGTGGGGAAATATAAACACTGTACATAATGAAGGATGTTGAGAAGTTTTACAGTAACATGTACCGTATTCAACGTGATAAGCGCCCACAGCAATATAGTGAACAATCCCAATCTGCACCCCTTCCGATTGATCAATGCACACAAGACTTATTTATTCGTGTATAATGCGCACTCATGTGTTATATGCACCCTAATTATGGGCAATTAAATTCTTGAAAAATATATCTGTAGTGTGTAAACATTTCAGGCTGTCAGCATAAACCACGAAATTTACGATCTTTCAACTCTGTTTTTTTTCACCAAAATAATATTCTAATTACAGCCCCCTAAGCCTATTTTGGAGAGCGCCCTGAGCGCTTATTACGTCGAATACGTTATATGAAGATACTTCTGAGAGTGAGTGAGTATGTATGGTTTTAAGACAATTTAGATTTCACACATCGTCAGTGTGATGGGTAAACGCTTTAACCACTTGGCCACCCCAGCACCCCTGCTTCTAAGAGACCGCCTCCTCGGTCTAGTGGTACAGCATCTGCCGGGAGAGCGGAAGGTCTGGTGTTTGATTCACGGCCTTGTCATACCAAAAGATGGTACTTCTTGTTACCCTGTCTTGTGGTCAGCATTAAGGGGCTAAAGCAGGGACCAGTCAGCTCACCTTACCTACTTCAAAGAAGGCCTATACTAAATACAATGCATGTCAATTAATTTTTCTTTCTTTTATTGTTTTTAATAAGAAGTACCTTTACATAAAATGTGCTCCCACATGTCAATAATTTTTATCTGTAGCGTTTTTCTGTTTGTATCTATAATTAGTCATCTGTCTTATCCATCAAAGATGGCATGGTCGAGCAAACAAATATATTTTTCCGGGTTGGGTCGGACGTATGCGTAAACTCAAAAATAAAAAAATCTGTCTTAACATTTGATTTGAATTTTAATAGTCATGTATGTCATTTGTGAAATTGTGCACATTTTGGTAGAAAAATAAGTTTGTAGGTTATATAATTTAAAATCATAAAATGACATTGAAATGATAAAACACTATTGTAGTCTACAAACATCCCAGGAGCCAATGCTGTAGAGAACATGCAATAAAAGTATTAGCTATGTACTGTAAACGTCACACTACAGTACTGGTTTGTAAAACAGCCATGAAATGCTATCGTTAATTGCACATAAAATCATAAAATAATACAAAAAGTCTGAATTTAGTATTCTGGTCCCAGTCAGTGATGCAATATACCACTCAAAAGAAGTTAAGGAACACCCAATTGTTTCATATGTCTATGGTTGATCTGAGTGGGTGAGTGGGTGAGTATGGTTTTACGCCGCTTTTAGCAATATTCCAGCAATATCGGCGGGGGACACCAAAAATGGGCTTCACACATTGTACCCATGTCGGGAATCGAACCCGGGTCTTCGGCGTGACGTGGTTGATCTGACGTGGCATGACATCATAAGTATAGTAATATGAAGGAATCGGTTGTTCTTTAACTTCTTTGGAATGATATATGTGTCCCAGTGTGGGATTCCGGAACATCTGGGGGCACGGGTGGCCCGGTCGTCTAAGGCGCCGCGATTCGCTGTGCAGAGTTGCGCCCCTTGAGCACGCCAGAAACCTATGATTGTGGGTTCGAATCCCGGTTTGCCCCGATTATGTTTCTAGGTTTGTCAGCACCATACCCATGCTCGTGGGTTTCACCGAAGTGGTAAACGTCTGAGACCTGCATCACTTCGGGCTTTCCTCCCACATTAAGCTGACACGCCGTGATATAACTGGAATACTGTTAAAAGCGGCGTTAGACCCAACCCACTCACACTCACTCCGGAACATCTTGTTAGTATTTACATTGATGGATAGAGAGAAAAGGCCTGAGACGAGGATGCAAATGGATCTCTGAAAGTGAGACCAGCATACAAAATACGTCTAAAATAGTTAAATACTTTCAAAAACAAAATACTATAGAATAATACTGAATTAAACAAAAAACTGTTGCCAAAATAGAAACTGTTAACAATATGAGACCTTTCTGAGTTAAACAACTCAAGCATCCTTGAATCCTAATCCTGTAATTAACAAACAATAAACGCAGTTCTACAACTGCAAAGTGATAGTGTACCCTTAGCAGTGAGATACTTCATCAATTCATAGGTCATGGATAGGTCTTGATAGGTGTATTGACATGAACTAACTACGAAACATTGTGTTTCCGTCATACTAAACATCACATCAATGAAATGAAATAATGTACAAATGTCTGATTTAGTCACATGATCAAATCCGATACACCAAATTATCCTGTCCGAATCTTCCACAGGATCTTTCCACATGACAATCTTAGCGCTAATAGTGTCTGTCTGTGTTAAGGTATTAGTGACAAGAGTCACAGCACTTACTGCAGATCACATTTGTAGACAAACAATCTTAGCGCTGAGATTATCATAAATCTGTGTACCGGAGTTGATCATCTAAGAGTCAAGGTTGCTTTGAAGAACAGAGTCCTGGAATACATGGAATCGCCCATCCCTTGATTATTCAGTGTCATATCCCCATTCTATTATGATAAATACTGTGGGCCATTTGCCAACATAGCTTCATATTAACACGGTTTGAATGACATGATGCCTCCATAGCCATCCAATCAAATTTCAGTGTTCTGAAACAGACAGATATCGCCAGGACACAACTGACATTGCTTCACTTCACTCTCTGTCGTAAAACTCATAAAAACATCCTTTCCCGCTCAAAGTTCATTTGAAACACATTATTAAATATATTGTGGGATTTCTTGCAGGCCACGATTTTTATATGTAGACGTATGGCGAACTCAGAGGAAGCAATTTGATTGGTTCTTGTTTTCAAGGTCATGAGTGAGATAAATTTTGCATTAAGTTAGTGGTAGGATACCTGGAGAATGTGACATCACTCTGAAATGAAGGTATGGTGGTGACTGGGTCCAGGGTTCTTATCATAGTAGAAAGAGATATAATACCCTGGATAACAGAGGATGGGAAACCTGTGATACATTGGTCAGTGCATCAACAACGTCCAAGATCAGATACTAATCTATGACAGCTTCAGCAATGGGTAAGACTATCAATTAATATGTACAGTATACCAGGACTGTCCTGAAGACATTCAGTTATTTCACTGTTTATTTATGAATCCTATCTGTGTCATTTTCATCATAACTACTTTGGTAATTTGCATGATTATGGAGGGTTATGATATGAATTGGATATGAATTTGTGATTGTCGCCAAACAACTGCCATACCTTTGGGGGTTCATTGTTTGCACCCTCATGGGAAAATAACGTCCAGCCTGAAGTTCATCTATCTCCCATACAAGCAACCTAATCATGTCTGCTGATATAATGTGATGCTCATTGTGCAACTCCAACTGTCATGCATCAGGAGTCAATCTACAGGTTACTTTGGTGAACGAGAGTTGTTTCCACTAGGACAGCATGTGAGTGAGTGAGTGGGTGCGTGGGTGGGTGAGTGAGTGGTTGGTTGGGTGGTTGGATGAGTGAGTGAGTGAGTGAGTGAGTGAGTGAGTGAGTGAGTGAGTGAGTGAGTGAGTGAGTGAGTGAGTGAGTGAGTGAGTGTTATTTAACGCAGTACTCAACAATATTCCAGCTATATTATGGCGGTCTGAAAATAATCGAGTCTGGACCAGACAATCCAGTGATTGACATCATGTGCATCAAGCCATGCATTTGGGATCGATGACATGCATCAACCAAGTCAGTGAGCCTGACCACCCGATCCCGTTAGTCACCTCTTACGACAAGCATAGTTGCTTTTTATGGCAAGCATGGGTTGCCGAGTGAGTGAGTGAGTGCATAGGTGGTGAGTGAGTGAGTGTAACAAATGAGTGTGTGGGTGAGTAGGTGAGTGAGGGAGTGAGTGAAAAAAGTGAGTAAGGGAGCGAGTGAGTGAATTTAACACCACTTTCAGTGACACAGAATGCACACTGATGCCCTTCTTTCAATTGGAAAGTTAGATAAATCATCTAGATGTAAAAAATACCCATCTTAGAAGCAGTTAATACTCTGAATACATACCAGCAGACATGTTTAAGAACCTTTACAATGCAGTCACGTCATGAACCTCATCCTTATGGCTTTATGATTGATGAATACTCATCTACTTATTCTGTCAGCTTCCTGAGGCAAGGGAGATAACTGACTGTAAAAGTCCAGTTTATGAGTAGTTAGCAGTACGTCAAGTGACGTCAATAATGAACGCTGTTATGTATTAATGCACCACTGCAATCATGAGAATGGACAAAATGCATCAATTCGATGCTAATGATGTGCGATTTTAGGGTGTGAAAGAAACAGATTACTGTACTCGTGCCTGTCAGATACCATTTATTTTTCGCTTGTTAGATAAGTTTTGAAACTCGTAAGTAAAATGGTATCTGACAGACACTTGTGTAGTAATCTCTTTGTCACACATCTTTCTTTTCTTTATGTCACAAAGGCCAATACAAGCCATTTAACCAGCCTCGTTATGGGACTTGACGTCGTTTGGCCATGCCAAGTCTTGGCCTTATTGCTATGACAGTTCCTGACATGACATCATAGCTCCAGATAAGTTGCGTATCTGCGTAAAATACGCATCAGAAATGCAGAAATACGCAGTAAAATAAAATCCAAGCGTATCAAATACACAACGAACATTACAGATACGCTACAAAAATAAACCTTGTGGGTATCATCAAAATATTGTGAAGTAACCCTGCGTATTTGATTAGCAAATCAGCAATTTGTTTTGAAATTATAAACGGGCATTCCGTCAACCTTGCCAAACTCCACAATGACCGTTACATCATGATCATTTGCCATCACACTTTCTTGTGGAAGTATCGTGGTATTTTTGAGTCCTATAAAGCTCTCGAACCCACACGACACCAGTTTGCAGGGACTAGATGAATAGTGTTTTCAAATATTTAACTTAAATACCCACATGTGTAAAACCTAGTGGGTAACAGAAATTTGAATACCCAGATAGAATTACTGATACCCAATGATTTTAAAATGCATGGGTAAAATACCCACAACACCAAAAGCTTATCTGGAGCTGTGTGACATCTTCCATTGTCCAGGGTAATATATTACATTCTAATACATGTATGATAAACAGCATGGGCCCATTCACTACCATAGCTTCATTTGGAACCCATTCAAGTCCTCTCATGAGCAAGATGATTTCTGTACTGGGAGATAGGAGATATTTATATCGTGACGTCAAAGCTATCGTGGTGAATGGGTTCACAGAAATTATTATGACCTAACATAGATATAATACCCTGGATAATCGGGGATGTTTGATGATGATGATGATGATGGTCACAGCTTCCTGAGGTTATGGAGATTATGGAGTTTATGAGGTGGTCAATGTGCCTCGTGCTATGAATACAAAGACTGCTCCAGCAACTGGAAAGATAAAATAAAACATGTGACATCAATGCGATGTACACCACAGACTCTGAATTAGACAAATTCAGAGAAATACCATATTCGACGTAATAAGTGCCCAGGGTGCTCTCAAAATTAGAAATAGGGGCTCTTATTAGAATATTAGTTTGGTGAAAAATGAATGATAAATTTCGTGGTTTATGCTGACAGACTGAAATGTTTATATACGACAGATATATTTTTCCAGAATTTAATTGCACATAATGAAGGGTGCATATAACACACGAGAATACGCTAATAAATAAATCTTGTGTACATTGATCAATCGGAAGGGGTGCTAACTGGGATTGTTCACTAGCCAATATAATAGCAAATGTCGCCTTGGGAGCTTATTAGAGCGGGGCTTTTATTACGTCAAATACGGTATCTATGGCCTTTTTCACAACTGACTGGGTAGGGAAGAAGGATTTTACTTTTTTTAATAATTTTAGTAGGTACCAAATCTATAAAAGAAAACGTTATTCTAATATACCACATGACCTTTAAATGGACCCGTGAAGATCCGGTGTAGAATAGGTCTTCAGCAAACCATGCTTGCCATAAAAGGTGACTATGCTTGCCATAAAAGGCAACTATGCTTGTCCTAAGAGGCGACTAACGGGATCGGGTGGTCAGGCTCGCTGACTTGGTTGATGCATGTCATCGTATCCCAATTGCGTGGATCGATGCTAATGATGTCAATCACTGGATTGACTGGCCCAGAGTCGATTTTTTACAGACTGACGTCATATAGCTGGAATATTGCTGAGTGTGGCATTTAACAAACAACCAAACAAACAAACAAACCTCTAAATGCCCCGGTTGAAGTACGAAGAGACATTGTAAAACCCTGTGATTCTGATACACTATGGGGGGCACAGGTGGCCCAGTCGTCTAAGGCGCCGCAATTCCATTTGCAGAGTTGCGTCCCTTGGGCACGCCAGAAACCTATGATTGTGGGTTTGAATCCCGGTTCGCCCTATTATGTTTCTAGGTTTGTCAGCACCATACCTGTGCTCATGGGTTTCACCGAAGTGGTAAACGTCTTAGACCTGCATCACTTCGGGCTTTCCTCCCACTTTAAGCTGACATGCCGTGATGTAACTGGAATACTGTTAAAAGCGGCGTTAAAATCCAGCTCACTCACTCACTCTGATACACTAAGATTGACGTGATGTACTGGTATGTAAAAAGTTGGAATCTATATTCAAATTGTCTCTTTTGAATTGTATTATTCCTTGAACACATTCCAAAAAGAAGGTAATGCAGTCATCTCTACCTGTTGCAGTGAAAACTCGGCATGTCCATCGGCTTCGTGCTTGCTGTATATGTCTGCAAAAGTGTTGGATATATTGATCACATACAGAGGATGACCACATACTAACTATGACTATTCATCAAATAAAACCTGACCTGTGGACACTAACACCCTGTTCAAACACACACCATTAACAGTTTTCTGATATACACAAGGTATAGTTAGGGTTGTCAAACGTCCTGCCTTACAAAAGGTATGACTGCAAACAAAATTCCAAAACAACAGACATGCAAAAAGAATGACTAAGACTGTTTGTAATTACGACACGGGATTTGTGTTTGAATATCGAAAATAATCAACCCAAACATTTGAAATTAGGGTTGGTGAATATTTATGAGTCAGTTATTGTATCCTACAGATTTTATAACATGACACGTTGTAAAAAGCCTAATATTTTCATTTTAGCAATTGACGTGATGACCTTGAAAATTACGTTTTTATTTTGTCTAACCTTTGCATAATATATTTACTGAAATGGTTTATGATTTACCATCGCGCTGTTGTTTGGCGATAAAAAAAATCGAATTTCTTCTCAGTTAAATTTAAGATATAGGAGATATGATTATTAAAATCAGTTTGCACAAATTCAACGATTTAAATACGTTCCTAATATGAAATGCATTCAACATTCAATCACGTAATTAAGGTAAGTTCAAGAAATTTTACAAATTTTGTGTTCGCTTTGGTCTTAACCTTGGTATGATTGAAAACATCAGGATATTTTTATATAGCAATGTGTATTTTTCTATCAGGGATAAATGTGCAAAATATTTCTTCAGTTGGCCCATGTTTAATGGAGCACCGACCGTTTGACATCACCTACCCTCTTAACAGTGCCTTATGCTAAAATGAATCCAGCAGGCAGGGCTAGGAAATATGAAAACAATTCAGCAGGCTAAAGGTTAAAGCAGAGACCATATAATAGATCTCTGGTTTAAAAAAATAAAGGACTAGTACAGGGACTAGACCATCAACCAGCATATACAGATTTCAAGACTCATAATGTCCTACTCACTGAACAGTTTCATGAGCCTGGCCAGGAGGATGAGGAAGTTGTCCAGTTCGATGCGGTGGTTCTCGTTGCCGTAGCGGAAGATGATGGCAGCCATTGCTTTGTTACTCACTTTGTACCCTGTAGGAGGAGAAACAGTTTCTTTCATAACAAAAAGGACGTTCAAAAGTTTTGCAATTGGAACGTCATAATCTTATTTACTATTTCATCAATTCGACGTAATAAGTGCCCCGCTCTAATAAGTGCCCACGGCGATATTTGCTAATATATTGGCTAGTGAACAATCCCAATTAGCACCTCTTCTGATTGATCAATGTACACAAGACTTATTTATTTGTGGATAATGCACACTCATGTGTTATATGCACCCTAATTATGGGCAATTAAATTCTGGAAAAATATATCTGTTGTATATAAACATTTCAGGCTGTCAGCATAAACCACGAAATTTATGATCTTTCAACTATTTTACCAAAATAATATTCTAATAAGAGCCCCCCCCTATTTCTAATTTTGAGAGCGCCCTGGGCGCTTATTACGTTGAATACGGTAGTTCATGAGTTAGTATTGTTTGAAGTCCCTCTAATCAATATTCTAGTACAAGTACTTAATGGTAGCTATCTCATTAAAATCAGATCTTAGTTATCGCTACTGCTAAACAAAGATCTGAGGACATCCCATTACGGGTCAAATCAGACCAACCATTCCCCAACTTTGACCGACCAATGGAATGACTGACAAGAAGTCAACATTAGCCAATCAGAAGGCAGCTTTCTCATTGTTTTATTAATAGTATCAAACTGGCGACTACACTTCAAAACATATTTTGACAAATTCATGATTAAAAATTTAAAAAGAACAAAAGAACATTCTGGAATGGCAAATAAATGGACTAGATTATATGGATTCAGTCATAAAGCCTAAACTGTTGTTAGGAATACACCATTTTTTTAGATTAGAAAACAAATTCCGACTGTCACTTTCATGATCTGGTAAGCGATGCTCTAACTGGTCAAATGAAAGGTTGTTCTGACGTGACCTGTAATGGGATGTCCTTAGATCTATGTTTAGCGGTAGCGAAAACCAAGATCTGTTTTTAATGAGATTTTCATGTCTGAGGTTTCACAGTGCACCTATGTCTGACTTACCGGCTGCAGGTAGTGCCCTTCGTAGCTCGTACGAGTTCATGGTTCCTGATTTGTTGGCATCGTACTGGTAGAAGACTTTCTGGAATAAAATTGACTTGTGTACTTTCCAAATCTGGGAGCTGGCAATGTAAAAAAAGTAATCTGTTCCTAAAAAATGCTGGAAAAACATAATTTGTTCACAGGGTTTCCAAACAGAAATAGATCTAAGAAAGAAATTGGTGTTTGAAGCAAAGCCTGAAAAAATGTCCTGTCACAAACAAAACTCCAAACCAACTCAGAAATTATTGAATGGCCTCTTATAAGCTGACATGCAACACAGGTGAAGCACATATAGAAACATGCATCTAGAATCTTCATTGTCCACCCTTGTAGCATATTTGATGGATTTAAAGAATTTTAAAAAAAACTTCTATTCTATTCAATTTTTTATAGTACTTAATTGTTAGCTTGCTGACAATCACTGCAAGTTTGATATAAATGTTACCTTGAAATGAAAGGAACTCTATTACAGATATGAGAATTCAAATTTTTAAAAGGAAAAAAACCTGGGAAATAAAAATTAAGCTGACAAACAATATGAGAGTGCAATCTCATTAAAATCAGATCTTAGTTCTCGCTACTGCTAAACAAAGATCTGAGGACATCCCATTACTGGTCACATCAGACCAACCTTGCGCGAACTTTGACCGACCAATGGAATGACCAATCAGAAGGCAGCTTTCTTGTGCTTTACGGCACTAATTTCAAATTGGCGACTAGGCTTCGAAACATATTTTGACAAATTCTCGATTACAAATTTGAAACCTGAACAAAAGATCATTCTGGAATGGCTAATAGATGGTCTAGATTGTATGGATACAGTCGTTAAACCCGTAACTATCGTTCGGAGTTAAGGTTTTCGAGGCTGCATGATCAGAAATCACATTCCGACTGTCACTTTCATAACCTGGTAAGCGATGCTCTGATTGGTCGGATGAAAGGTCGTTCTGACGTGACCCGTAATGGGATGTCCTCAGATCTGTTTAGTGGCAGTGAAAACTGAGGTCTGATTTTAATGAGATTGTATGAGAGTGTAGCATATCCAGACATGCATCTGGCAGTGTCCATCCTGGTGTACCTACCTTCCAGCTGCGAAGATGATTCCACAAGTAGCTGAACTCACTGATGCCAAGACGACCATTGTTATCTACCTTAGGAGTGTTAAAGTTTGCTTTACAATCTCAGACAGATCACATAAAAGACCAATACATATCCTCTTTGACATCAAGAAAAGCAGATCATGCATATAAACCAATGAATTTTCTTTAACAAGACATAGTGTATTCCTTCAGCATGCATCTTCCTGAAGCAAGGGAATTAACTGACTTTAAAAGTCCAGTTTCCACCCTTGCCGAACTAGGCTGGTATTATGGAGTTACATTTTCGCTGGACTTATGAGTCAAATGTCAAATGACATCACTAATAGCTCTTCTACTGAAGCTGTTAGCAGTACCTTTTACACTTAAGGCACTGCTTATTACTGTCAACAAACTGAAAAAGTTGGGAGTATGATGTTGGATGATAAATAAAATCTCAGCTTCATGTCTTTTGATATCAAATATATCAACACTCAATAAACATGGCAAAACTCCTCGGCAAGCCTCAGAGTTTTTTCACTTTTATCAACTTGTGTTGATATATTTGATATCAAAAGACACTCAGGTGAGATTCTCTACAAACACATCATACAATTCACATACCGGCACAGTATATCTAAAATTAACAACCAATTATGTTTGTAACTTGCCCAGAAATATCAAGGCAAGCCAATACTTGAGAACTAGTTCTATATTTCTCAACTTTTGATCGGGATAATCTGTTAAAAAAGAATCGTAGTGGGTAGTATATATTCCAGCCATGACATGGGACACCAAGCACGTGCTTGACCCAGGAGGACTTGTACCCATGACAGGAATAAAAACCATGGTTCGACTTGACAAGCACACACTGGAACCAATAGGCTACTTGGCATCACTTTAATTCAATAAATATATTTGACCTATTGAAAGGATACATCCATGAGACTGACGAATGACTTGCAGGCATCGATTCCTATCTCTCTGTGAAGGGGTTCTGGAATAGAAGTCAAAACTGAGTGACTACGAGATACAGTTGAATCTTCAGATAGTAGACACTTTCGTTAGGCCCTGACAGTATCCTTATTTATGCATCATCATTTCAAAAGGGAAAACTAGAATTGTTTAAGTAGAAAAAATGCATCTGTTGTAGGGCTGGGACGAGTCCAAATTTACTACCCGGATACCCAAACCCCTAATACCCGACCCTACCCGGGTACCCACTGTAGGTCTCAAGAGTTGGGAACACAATGTCTAATTGGGAATAGTTTAACTGTAGCCCTGGTAAAAATTGTTTAGATACATGTATGAAACCAGAGACCATATAATAGATATATGGTCTCTTATGAAACGATCAAATCATGCGTACGCTGAAGTTGACTGAAGCTTTATCTTTCCTCAAACATTTACAAGTCAAAAGGAATGTGTGCATCATCATAAAGAAATGGGAACATTAGCGACTTGTAGTGTAACCACTGAGTTATAGTAAGTTTTTGTCATTAAACAATATGTCACGTGATTAACCACGGGTCCGGGTAGTACTGTGGGTACCCGGGTCCTACCTAGGACCCACCCGACCCGAGTACCCGAGTTACCCGTCCCAGCCCTAATCTGTTGAACATTTCATTGGTCCCATGAGTAATTCTGTATCAGCATCTTGGACCTTGTGATGCCACTATCCAGTGTGGATGTCAGATCACAGCATAAACAAGTAAAACTATGTACATTCACTACATACCGTAAATCTTGAAATTAACGTCAGCGATAGTTAAATGCGAGAAATGCAATTGGCCTTTGTTCGCATTTATGAAACTTCGCTTTTATATCTCCAATATGACTTTCAACAATAAGACGGCCTCACTGCACACATTGGATAGTGGAAACACCAACTTGAATATTAACACAAACACGGTTTATTGAGCAGCAGTTGTAACAAGTATATAACAATGTCATTCAAAGAATAGGAATTACACAATATGCATCTGGTGAGTTATCACTGCTGGGGTCAAGAGTTCTACCCACTCGTGTCAAACTACTCCTAGGCATCATTGAACACTCCAGCAGTCCAGAAAGATGCCACCAACACAACACTTTGTCAAAGGCCGACACGACCCAACACGCATCGATAGGCTTCACAACACTCCTCAGATCTCCAGCCCTTGTCTTGTCATCTGCCTTCAAGTTTGTCGACACCTTCTCAGAATACCAATCAGTGAACTGTTGTTGGTTCAATTATTTTATTACCTTTGAACTTCCTTAATGCCAGTCAACAGAATAAACATATAAACTGTGCGTTGTTTTTAGGAAAACAGTGTTTATTGTTTTCAAAGAAGTGCTCTATTCAGCGCTAATAAGTGGTGCTATATATGCCGTTTGAGTTAATTAAGGTAAGGTTGGATTAAGTTAATATAAGGGTAATGCTATTTTTCAGGGCATTATCATTTGCAGAAGCCTGTAGTCTTCCATTAACTGCCCGACGAAGGAGGGCAGTTGAAAAGACCGAGGGCTTTTGCAAATGATAATGCCCTGAAAAATAGCGTTACCGTTATTATAGCTAAAATGGATGGAATTTGTTATTAAATAAAAAGAAACAACAATATCGATTTTGAAACATATACTGCAATCAACACGAATGTCACTGACCCACTTTTACAAATATGGAAACGTCATAGAACAAACCAGATGACGTCACTATTGAATGTGACGTCACCTATCCCTTTCCTATGACGTCACCTAACAACGGGCGTGATAATGGCCCGTCGTCAAGTAATATGAGGGCATTATCAAGTTACAGTGGCCCGCTCATTTCTGATAACATGCCGGCGTTTTTATGATAATTCTATCCATTTTAGCTTTAAGGATTTGTATCATTCCACTGGGGATTGGTTGGGGAGGAGTCGCATTGATATTGAGTCGCATTTTTGGCTAGGGGTCAGCAGTTGTATTACTTTGGAGACGCAATACTTTCAAGATTTACGGTATCTATTCTTTACGATGTAATGTCACTTTGTGGCTGTGTATACAGTGACATTAGCGTAGTAAAGAAAGCTGGAAACACCCTGGTCGGATAATTAGCAAACAGGTAAGTAGATACTTTGGACTGAGTCCCTTGATTTGCTACTTGACTGCTTAACGAGAGTCGACTTTCTGTCAAACATGCAATGTGTTACAAAAACAATAACATTGAAATCAAACAAACTTCTCAAATTCTGCTCACCTTTTTTTAACGCATCATTAATGGCGACCTTCAGCTCAAAGGGATTCACTTCCATGTCCTGGGGAAAAGTAGAATTGGAACTAACATGACTCTGTTACCATGGCATCGCAACTGATCTAGTTTAATTTCTCCATCTTGTTCGTCTCCTGTGATTGTGTATGACAATCCTTCAACAAGGGAAGAAGCTGTTTCCTCGGTAAGTTTGCAAACATTGTTTCAGTGTAGAATTTCCTTACATTTCTCGAGTTCTAAGCATTTATGCCAAAACCTTTGGAGGATGGAATAGTTTTACTTTGTACTTGTCTATTGTAAGAGGTTCAATCATGTGGCTGAGAATGTTGAGTGTCAATTAGGAACGAAACATAATATGTTTTTATATTTGTGAGTGCAACTGAGTATTTGATGACTGACTGAGAAGAATAAATGACGTATCAAGAGTTTGCCACTAAAGTGGCTATATCCCCCGCCCCTGTTGCAGAATTTATGACATAATCAAATCTAAACAAACCCTAACCTTTTTTAACCGAGTTGGAACTTGTCATGGAAATTGTAAAAAAAAGAAGAGTTGCCATGGAAACGTAAAAAATAAAAATTTCTAAATAGCAAAAGGCACCAGTTCAGCATGTACCTAAAACCTGCATAGTTTTATGAAAAAATATTGAACGGTTTATGAGTTATGCTCCGGAAACGAACCCTACCCTCACAGAACCTAAGTCCATCTTGTTGCCATGGAAACGTAAAAAATAAAAATTTCTAAAATTTCTAAATAGCAAAAGGTACCAGTTCAGCATGTACCTGACAGACATGCAAAGTTTGATGAAAAAATATTGAACGGTTTATGAGTTATGCTCCGGAAACGAACCCTACCCTCACAGAACCTAAGTCCATCTTGTTGCCATGGAAACGTACAAAATAATAATTTCTAAAATTTCTAAATAGCAAAAGGCACCAGTTCAGCATGTACCTGACAGACATGCAGAGTTTGATGAAAAAATATTGAATGCTTTATGAGTTATGCTCCGGAAACGAACCCTACCCTCACAGAACCTAAGTCCATCTTGTTGCCATGGAAACGTACAAAATAATAATTTCTAAAATTTCTAAATAGCAAAAGGCACCAGTTCAGCATGTACCTGACAAACCTGCAAAGTTTCATGAAAAAATATTGAACAGTTTCTGAGTGATGCTCTGGAAAAGAAACGTGACAGACGGACGGACGGAGCCCGTTTCTATATCCCCCGCCAACTTTGTTGGGTGGGGTATAATTATACCAACCTCTCCTGCAACTTGGTAGAAAAACTGTTTGAACTTTTCCTCTTGCTCCTTGTAGTCAGGAGATGGTTCAGGAGGAGGGATGGCGATCTTAGCCGGCTTCTCATCACCATACCTATAGAAGACACTGTCTCAGTCACTGGCAGTCATGAAACTAATGCAATCTCATTAAAATCAGATCCTAGTTCTCGCTATTGCTAAACAAAGATCTGAGGACATCCCATTACGGGTCACGTCAGACCGACCTTGCGCAAATTTTGACCGACCAATGGAAGGACTGACAAGAAGTAGACATTAGCCAATCAGAAGGCAGCTTACTCGTGCTTTATGGCACTAAATTCAAATTGGCGACTACGCTTCGAAACATATTTTGACAAATTCTCGATTACAAATTTGAAACCTGAACAAAAGAACATTCTGAAATGGCAAATATATGGTCTAGATTGTATGGATTCAGTCGTTAAACCCGTAACTATCGTTTGGACTACCCCGTGTTAAAGTTTTCGAGATTGCATTATTAGATATCACATTCCGACTGTCACTTTCATGATCTGGTAAGCGACGCCTTGATTGGTCGGATGAAAGGTCGTTTTGACGTGAACCCTAATGGGATGTCCTCAGATCTTTGTTTAGCGGTAGCGAGAACTAAGATCTGATTTTAATGAGATTGGAAACTAATGTGTCACGAAAGTAATACAAGGGCCGACCTCTAGCCTATAATGTAGCATGATCAATACCTTCGTATACCGGTATAGTATCTCCAATCAAGGAGATTGAATTCCCTAAGTTACCTACCTAGAAAAGGCTTTCCTAAAGTTTGTTTGTTTGTTGTTTAATGCCGCACTCAGCAATATTCCGGCTATATGACGGCAGTCTGTAAATAATTGGGTCTGGACCAGACAATCCAGTGATTGACATCATGAGCATCGATCCACGCAATTGGGATATGATGACATACATCAACCAAGTCAGCGAGGCTGACCACCCGATCCCGTTAGTCGCCTCTTACGACAAGCATATTCGCCTTTAACGACAAGCATGGGTTGCTGAAGACCTATTCTACCCCAGATCTTCACGGGCCATTAGACAACATTGTGTCACCATGTTTATGTATATTATCCAGTTCATGGAACAACTTTGGTAAATGGTTTCAAAGCTAATGTCAAATATCTAATTTTTCTCAAGTTCCAAAACATCATCAACAAACAAACAATCAAGAAACTTGGCACATCTGATGTGAGTTGGCACAGGTGGCCCACTCATCTAAGGTGCTGCAGATTCACTGTGCAGAGTTGCCTCCCTTAGGTGTGCCAGAATCCTATGATCATGGGTCCAAATTCTAGATTCACCTTGATTATGTCTCTAGGTTTGTCAGCACCATGTCCATGCTTGTGGGTTACACTAAAGTGGGAAATATCTAAACCTGCATCACTTGGGTTTTCCTCCCTTATCATGTCCTGATATACCGTATTCGACGTAATAAGCGCCCAGGGCGCTCTCAAAATTAGAAATAGGGGGCTCTTATTAGAATATTATTTTGGTGAAAAAGACAGAGTTGAAAGATAAATTTTATGGTTTATGCTGACAGCCTGAAATGTTTATATACGAGAGATACATTTTTCCAGAATTTAAATGCCAAAATTAAGGGTGATATAACACACGAGTGCGTATTATACACGAATAAATAAGTCTTGTGTACATTGATCAATCGGAAGGGGTGCTGATTGGGATTGTTCACTAGCCAATATATTAGCAAATATCGCCATGGGTGCTTATTAGAGCGGGGCGCTTATTACGTCGAATACGGTAACTGAAATACAGTCAAACTCAATTACATCTTTGTGGTACCATTATTATAAAGCTATCCTTACTCAGCAACGTTGCCCTTCTCGAAGAAGAATCTGACGTAGTAGTCCAGCTCCTGATGGGGCTCGTATGTACACGGCAGCACGACGTAGTTCCCGGGCGGGAAGGCGAACCGCTTCACCACCTGCCTGGCGTTAGTGAAGGCGTTGCACCGGGCGTAGGGATTGTTGTAGTCAAAGAAGTCCTTGTTGAGGGGCACAGAATCATCCTTGGAACACTGCAAGGCGAGACCTCACTTGATGAGAATCATGTCTTATGATCAAAAGGCCAATCATTTTACTTAAAAATTTAAAAAGTATGAAAGAAAAGATGAAATGCTGCTTATATTTAGAAAATATATTGTTTTTACTGTTGGAAGTTTTTTTTTACATTTAAATCAAAATCTTTTGAGGAAATAATAAGGAAAGCTAGACATTTTTACATTTTGGAGTCAGTGTAGAGTCTGTGAATACTGAATATGATTACACAGTACATTTGATAAGATAAATTAACAAGGGCACTAACTCAATTATTTGAAATATGAGGAGTATATAATATTCGATTCTGCCTACCCTGTATATTACAAATATTACATTCTGCCTACTCTGTTGTTACAAATATTACATTTCGCCAACCAAGTATATTACAAGTATTAGATTTCGCCAACCCAGTATATTACAAGTATTAGATTTTGCCTACCCTGTATATTACAAATCCAATGTACAGAAACCTGGGTCCTTTATGTTTGATCCTGCGCCTGTCTTTCTGCATCACTTGCATTATGAAGCTGCAGTGACTATCATCATCATCGTCCGTGTCTTGGAGTCGAACGTGGTATTGGGGGTTGGTCCAGAACGTATCTGCAATGGAGGGAGTGTGAGTATGTCAGCTGTAAATGTTTGTCTGATGGGGTCACAGTCAGTTTGGCTACCGAAGAAAGGTACCTCAGCACCTTCCTGTCTACAAGAATAACCCTGGTGGAAATCAGAATACAGACATGTACCCTGTCTGAAATTGTAATACAGAAATGTACCCTGTCTGAAATTGTAATACTGAAATGTACCCTGTCTGAAATTGTAATACTGAAATGTACCCTGTTTGAAATTGTAATACTGAAATGTACCGTCTGAAATTGTAACACAGAAATGTACCCTGTTTGAAATTGTAATACTGAAATGTACCCTGTCTGAAATTGTAATACAGAAATGTACCCTGTCTGAAATTGTAATACAGAAATGTACCCTGTCTGAAATTGTAATATTGAAATGTACCCTGTCTGAAATTGTAATACAGAAATGTACCCTGGCTGAAATTGTAATACAGAAATGTACCCTGTCTGAAATTGTAATACAGAAATGTACCCTGTCTGAAATTGTAATACTGAAATGTACCGTTTGAAATTGTAATACTGAAATGTACCGTCTGAAATTGTAATACAGAAATGTACCCTGTTTGAAATTGTAATACAGAAATGTACCCTGTCTGAAATTGTAACACAGAAATGTACCCTGTCTGAAATTGTAATACAGAAATGTACCCTGTCTGAAATTGTAATACAGAAACGTACCCTGTCTGAAATTGTAATACTGAAATGTACCCTGTCTGAAATTGTTATACAGAAATGTACCCTGTCTGAAATTGTAATACAGAAATGTACCCTGTCTGAAATTGTAATACATAAATGTACCCTGTCTGAAATTGTAATACTGAAATGTACCCTGTCTGAAATTGTAATACTGAAATGTACCCTGTTTGAAATTGTAATACTGTAATGTACCGTCTGAAATTGTAATACAGAAATGTACCCTGTTTGAAATTGTAATACTGAAATGTACCCTGTCTGAAATTGTAATACAGAAATGTACCCTGTCTGAAATTGTAATACTGAAATGTACCCTGTCTGAAATTGTAATACAAGAATGTACCCTGTCTGAAATTGTAATACAGAAATGTACCCTGTCTGAAATTGTAATACAAGAATGTACCCTGTCTGAAATTGTAATACAAGAATGTACCCTGTCTGAAATTGTAATACAGAAATGTACCCTGTCTGAAATTGTAATACAGAAATGTACCCTGTCTGAAATTGTAATACAGAAATGTACCCTGTTTGAAATTGTAATACAGAAATGTACCGTTTGAAATTGTAATACAGAAATGTACCCTGTTTGAAATTGTAATACAGAAATGTACCCTGTTTGAAATCAGAATATAGAAATGTACCCTGTCTGAAATTGTAATACAGAAATGTACCCTGTTTGAAATTGTAATACAGAAATGTACCCTGTTTGAAATTGTAATACAGAAATGTACCCTGTTTGAAACTGTAATACAGAAATGTACCCTGTTTGAAATCAGAATACAGACATGTACCTGTCCACCTTATGTTACAAATGAAGCTGAAAACACTTTTGTGCACTGTTTAATATGCTCGGCCAGTCACTTTAGTCGTTCTATGAAGTTTTGTTTCCTACATGAGTACAATGTGTGAAACCCAATGAGGAGTTCTCGACTGTGGAATATTGCTGTGCTTGTTTGTTTGTTGTTTAATGCCCCACTCAGCAATATTCCAGCTATATGACGGCGGTCTGTAAATAATTGATTCTGGACCAGACAATCCAGTGATTGATATCATGAGCATCGATCTACGCAATTGGGATTGATGACATACATCAACCAAGTGAGCGAGCCTGACCACCCAATCCCGTAAGTCGCCTCTTATGACAAGCATAGTTGCCTTATATGGCAAGCATGGGTTGCTGAAGACCTATTCTAACCCAGATCTTCACAGGTCGGAATATTGCTGTGGAATACTGCTGGAATATGCTGGAATATTGCAACAAGAAAACCAGGCTCCCTCACTCACACAGGAGGTACAGTCACTATCCAGTGCTCCAGATAGACGCTGTATCAGCATATTGTACCCATGCAAACAAGACACAGACAGAATGCAAATTCCAACCATCAACAAATATAACAAAAGTTATATTTGGGATAACACTTTCTTAGTAAAGTACAGATTCTCGAACCCACACTGCCAGAGTGAGGCACCTAATCTCCAGCACACAAAGTCAGCGATCTAACCCACTCAGCCACCGAGGCTTCCACAAAAATGAAAGTCCGACAACTGATAGTCTAGATCACGTACTTTGAGTACCCCTCTGACAAGTGTAAATTGGCACGGCTCCATGGCTGAAAGCTATGAATACACAATGCCATTTAGAAAGTGGTCAAATGTAACAAATGTTATATTTGGGATAACACTTTCTTAGAAAAGTACAGATTCTCGTACTTTTTTTGGGTTGAGTCCTGTCCAGGATTCGAACCCACACTTGCCAGGTTAATCGCCAGCACACAAAGTCAGCCTCACTCTGGCAAATGTGGGTTCGAATCCCGGACGGGACTCAACCCAAAAAAAGTACGAGAATCTGTACCACTTTCTAAATGGCATTGTGTATTCATCAACAAATACTTGGACAAACAATACTATACATTCTCATGATTGATTGTTACTGTACCTTGTCTATTTATTCTAAGAAAACATTCTTCAAAACATCGTTCAACTTCGTATCAGGCATGACCTTCCGCTTAAATGGGAATATGTCATTTCATGTCAGCAGTAAATGGATTTCCTCTCAATCCTGCATTGTCATTGGCTAATAATAACACACCTGAATTCTCTAGTCTCGATTATGTTTATGTAGCAGGGCGTGGAGTCATCCCACAGATGACATCCTTACCTTGTCGGCTTGCTGACGGGCTTAACCTCTTTGGTCATGTGGACAAGGCGTCCGACCTCGGATCAGAAAGTCTGTGGTTTGAATACCATCACAGGAAATTTTATGGCTGCTACATCGGCGCCCAACGTGGGGCTGAGCACGTTCATATTAAATTTGACCTAAATAAGCCTCAGTACCCTACTATGCGGCCCGAGACGTGCCTTCTGTTGACGGGGGAGTATGTAGCAGGGTGTGGAGTCATCCCACAGATGATATCCTTACCTTGTCAGCTTGCTGACGGGGTTAACCTCTTTGGTCATGTGGACAAGGCGTCCGACCTCGGATCAGAAGGTCCGTGGTTCGAATCCCATCACGGGACTCGGAAATTTTATGGCCGCTACATTTACGTCAGCTTGGCACCAAAACATTAGGCCTTGGAATGATGGCGGTGCATTGCCTCCTTGTCTCCAACAATGATAGAACACCCAATATGACAACAACCTGTTTAGTACCTGTTACAATCTACATGGGGTACTGGGGACTTTGTCTGGTATCCAACAAACGTGAGATGTTTCAAGTAATGACTGATACCCACATCCTTGTCACAGTTTCTACGTTTACATGACTGTCTCTAACCTCTGTTAGAAGGTGTCCCGCCAGCGTTGAAGCCTTTTATCCATCTCCCATGATGCTCCACTACATGGCTAAGATCATCATCCATCGTCAAGTTGCAGATGTCAAGGTTATCAAAGTTCCTCTCAAAATCCTGGAAATCCATCCTGTTAAATGTATCGAACTCAACACTTACAACTTGCACATGACCACTGATTTGTTCAAAGTTTTATATTATATACACTATGAATGAGAGTGAGTGAGTGAGTTGGTTTTAACGCCGCTTTTAACATAATTCCAGTTATATCACGGCGTGTCAGCTTAATGTGGGAGGAAAGCCCAAAGTGATGCAGGTCTCAGACGTTTACCACTTTGGTGAAACCCACGGGCACGGGTATGGTGCTGACAAACCTAGAAACATAATCGGGGCGAACCGGGATTCAAACCCACAATCATAGGTTTCTGGCATGCCCAAGGGATGCAACTCTGTACAGCAAATCACGGCGCCTTAGACAAGTGGGCCACCTGTGCCCCACCTCGGGATGAGAAATATGTAAACATTATTATGTTATTCATTGCAGCTCTTTTCTTAAAAAAATGTGCAGATACATGATTGCATTGTCTTATTGTAGCTCTTCCATCTTAATGGAACTGACTGCCATTACCATGGCAACAAGAGATGTTTACTGCTAGCCTACCAGAATTCCCCATTGTCTCTCTGTACCAGTCCAATCTGCTCCCGCTCATGGTCGGGGATGCTCAACCACTCCTGGGAACTGGAAGAAAATCAGGTTGAAACGCTTACAGTATCACTGGGGCAGACTGATGAGGGCACTGCAAGTACTGCAAGAGCTATTGACATGATACTTTTACAATAGTATTGTGATAATATTAGGGCTGGAACGGTTAACTCGGGTCCTCGGGTCGGGTGGGTCCTGAGTAGGACCCGGGTACCTACATGACTACCCGGACCCGGGGTTAGTCATGTGATAATAGTTTAATGACAATAACAATAAAATTCCATGGTTACACAAGTACAAGTCGCTAATGTTCGCATTTCATTCTGACTATGGGCACATTCCTTCTGACTTTCATATGTTTTAGTTAAAACAAAGCTTCAGCCAACTTCAGTGTATACAAAATCAGATTGTTTTATACTATATCTAAACACTTTTTGCCAGGGCTCCGGTAAAACAATTCCCAAATGAACATTTTGTACCCAACTTATGACCTACAGCAGGTACCCGGGTAGGGTCGGGTAATAGGGGGGCGGGTACCAGGGTAGTAAATTTGGACTCGTCCCAGCCTAGATAATATGGTTAGAACCTAGACCTTCACAATCCAGATTTCCTGGCACTTATTAAACTAATATCTTCGAAGCCTGCAAGTCGATCACAGTCTAGATTCACTGGATGGCCAGGAAGTCAGTAGTAATAATCTGGGGCGGGGTGGGTGGGGAGAGGGAGCCAAGCTTTATGAGAATGCCTAAAAAAACAAGGATACAATCAAATGGTGAAGTATTTACTAAATATAGCCAGTTGTTGAATTATCAGATTATTTATTCTATACTACTCAAAAGAAGTTACAGAACACCCGATTTTTTCAAATGACTATAGTTAACCTGTCACAACTCATGAGGTCAGGAACCAGTCTGGGACTTCTTACAAACAAATGCTTGACCATAATCGATTAACATTCGGTAATTTTGGAGAGCCAAAGGCAGACATACCGATCACTCCATCGACCATTCCACTCAATCTTGTTCCCCCAAGGATTCCTGACTCGGATCAATGTGACTGGAATCTGTCCCCTGTCTGTCATCATCTGAATCTGCAATCATCCATTAATCACTGTTGTTAGCATAGCGTTGTGTATTGGATAATGATAATGAATATGGCATGTAAGGTTTGTTTGTTTGGTTTTATAAACTGCAATCATTACTCCAGCTAAATGACCTGTAAATATTCAAATTTGGACTAGACAATCAACTGACTGCGATATTATTAACGTTCAACACCCTTGAGGTATAATGACTTATATTGATACTTACTTCCCGGGATCTGTGACATAATGTAAGCAATGAGACTTACCTCCGTGAGGTCCATGACACTGTAAGCAATGAGACATTATACTTTCCTGACATCTGTAACACTGTAAGCAATGAGACCTACCTCCCTGAGGTCAGTGACACTGTAAGCAATGAGACCTACTTCCCCGAGGTCTGTGACACTGTATTATGAGACCTACCTCCCCGAGGTCTGTGACACTGTAAGCAATGAGACCTACCTCCCTGAGATCTGTGACACTGTAAGCAATGAGACCTACCTCCCTGAGGTCTGTGACACTGTAAGCAATGAGACCTACCTCCCTGAGATCTGTGACACTGTAAGCAATGAGACCTTACTCCCTGAGATCTGTGACACTGTATTATGAGACCTACCTCCCTGAGGTCCGTGACACTGTATTATGAGACCTTCCTCCCTGAGGTCTGTGACACTGTAAGCAATGAGACCTACCTTCCTGAGATCTGTGACACTGTATTATGAGACCTACCTCCCTGAGGTCTGTGACACTGTAAGCAATGAGACCTACCTCCCTGAGATCTGTGACACTGTATTATGAGACCTACCTCCCTGAGATCTGTAACACTGTAAGGAATGAGACCTACCTCCCTGAGATCTGTGACACTGTAAGCAATGAGACCTACCTCCCCGAGGTCTGTGACACTGTATTATGAGACCTACCTCCCTGAGATCTGTGACACTGTAAGCAATGAGACCTACCTCTCTGAGATCTGGGACAAAGTAAGCAATGAGACCTACCTCCCTGAGATCTGTGACACTGTAAGCAATGAGACCTACCTCCCTGAGATCTGTGACACTGTAAGCAATGAGACCTACCTCCCCGAGGTCTGTGACACTGTATTATGAGACCTACCTCCCTGAGATCTGTGACACTGTAAGCAATGAGACCTACCTCCCTGAGATCTGTGACACTGTAAGCAATGAGACCTACCTCCCCGAGGTCTGTGACACTGTATTATGAGACCTACCTCCCTGAGATCTGTGACACTGTAAGCAATGAGACCTACCTCCCCGAGGTCTGTGACACTGTAAGCAATGAGACCTACCTCCCTGAGGTCTGTGACACTGTATTATGAGACCTACCTCCCTGAGATCTGTGACACTGTAAGCAATGAGACCTACCTCCCTGAGGTCTGTGACACTGTATTATGAGACCTACCTCCCTGAGATCTGTGACACTGTAAGCATGTCCTGCAACCAGGCCATTCTCCAGTATTGCTTCTCCTGAGCCAGACTTCACAGACTGGAAGACAACATTAGATATATATAAAGGCAAAGGAATCACAGCAGAGGTTCTGAAGGTCACAGAGACTGAGGTTGGATACGGCTGCTTTTGTGCCAACAGAAATGTCAAAATTGGACAGTTTCAAATATTTGGATTTTTTTAACAAGTTCATGGCAATGATGAAACGAGTGAAAAAGGACTTCAAGAGAAAAGTGAACTTTGAGCAATGCTGCAACCTAATATGATATTTTTAATCCTATGCTGTTGTTATCTACAACTGTTTGGAAAACCAAGTTCTCATATTTTTATGTCAAAGACTTGCTATGTCAAATGTACGACTCCATTCTTGAAAGGGATATTTCTGTCTTTCCATGGTAGATGAAACTGTTTTCATATTTCTTATTTTCACTTAAATTACGTGGATTCGGTGGCTCCAAACATCATGTATCCTGTCCTTTGTGTATTGGTACCTGACCCACACTGCTTTAAATACACATTGTGGTAATAGTGATATTGATTTCAATTCCCAGTCCTGTGACATGCAACTGCAGATATACTATACACCACTGGTAAAAGGATCTTAAAGAAAATATGAATTGCTTAAAATTGTACATTTAATTCTACAGGTAACAGGTGATTACCGTATTTCCTGTATTAAGCTCCCTGCTCCAGCAAGCGCACCCTGATCAACTTCTAGACCAGTATGTTGGTAATCTTTATAAGCATCCCCCTACTAAGACCAAACATCTACATGACACTCCATATTTTCCCTTGTGTATTCTACACATTTTGTACAGAAAACAACAGTGCAGAAAGGGAATAGGATTGCCTAGTAACCATTATCGAGGTAAAACAATTCCCAACGGAACATTTTGTACCAACTTATGACCTACAGCAGGTACCCGGGTAGGGTCGGGTAATAGGGGGGCGGGTACCCGGGTAGCAAATTTGGACTCGTCCCAGCCCTAGATAATATGGTTAGAACCTAGACCTTCACAATTCAGATTTCCTGGCACTTTTTAAACTAATATCTTCAAAGCCTGCAAGTCAATCACAGTCTAGATTTACTAGATGGTCAGGAAGTCTGTAGTACTCAGCAATATTCCAGCTATATGACGTCGGTCTGTAAATAATCAAGTCTGGACCAGACAATCAAGTGATTGGCATCATGAGCATCGATCCACGCAACTGGGATCGATGACATGCATCAACCAAGTCAGCGAGCCTGACCACCCAATCCCGTTTACGCCTTTTACGACAAGCATAGTCACCTTTTACGGCAAGCATGTGTTGCTGAAGACCTACTCTACCCCGGAATCTTCACGGGTCTGTTTGTTTACTACCATTTGATTGTCAAAGGGGCACTTATCAATACTAGACACAGAGAATTAATTTTGGTTTCAGAGATCAAACTGTTTAGTACCATTTGATCTCTGAAACCAAAATTAATTCTCTGTGTCTAGTTTTGATAAGTGCCCCTTTGACAATTTTCTAAGGACCTGGGGCTCCATTTATTCCAAATACTGTAAGTCCCAACCGATAGCCTGAGAAGGTCATGGCAAACTTTCTGCTTCCCAACTCAATATTATGGCATCATATTTGATAATCAATATTCTATGAGAAGTAATTAACTCAGAGTCTGTCAACTCAACAATTCTCCAGAGATATCGACTTATCCTGAAGCAGAACCACAACTTTATATCTGGAATACTGTTAAAAGCGGTGTTAAACTCAACTCACTCACTCCAATGCTGGCCATTCCCAATACCAGACACACACCATATTGCTAAATTGTTTCTTCCACATAACACTTTCAAAACATTTTCAAATATCCAAAGAACTTCTTGTTGACAAGCATGCTTGTGCACACAAGTCCATATCTGTACTTGTCAAGGTGTAATTAGATATACCACTCAAAACAAGTTAAAGAACACTGATTAACTAGTTAATCTGTCATGTGATGTAGTAGGGCTGGGACGGGTAACTCGGGTACCCGGGTCGGGTGGGTACTGAGTAGGACCCGGGTACCCACAGGACTACCCGGACCTTTTGTTAGTCACGTGATATATTGTTTCATGACTAAAATTATCTGGAACTCTATGGTTACACTACAAGTCATTAATGTTCGCATATCTTTCTGACTATGCACCCATTCCTGATTTTTCATATGGTTGAATAAAGATGTAACTTAATTCAACTTCAGTGTATGAATGACCAGATTGTTTAATACATGTATTTAAATATGTTTTGCCAGGGCTATGCTAAAAATGTTCCCAATCAGACGTTTTGAGACATCTCCCGAGACCTACAATGGGTACCCGGGTAGGGTCGGTTAATAGGGGGGCGGGTACCCAGGTAGTAAATTTGGACTCGTCCCTGCCCTATGATGTAGTATACATTCAAGTCTCGTTAATCCGACATCGTTGGTTGCACATGATTGTGTCGGATTAACGAGTATGTCGGATTAACGAAATGAATTGATTTGTGATCGAAAATCGGACGTCTTCACGATAGATAATAACCGTATGTACCTTGTAATAAAATCATTAAAAACGAAATATTAATATTGTTATGTTGTTTATTCATTCATTCCTTAATTTGTAATTAATGACAGTGCAAAAATAATAATAATTTTCCCATTTATACATAACAATAGAGACATTACTCACTGAATTTATCACATCAACGACACACGTTTCCTCACGTAAATGCAAGTGCTACTGTCTTAACAACTTGCTTCTTCTACTTAAAATAGTCTGTCAGTGTTTTCTGTATGTTACTTCCTTCAAGTGCTCTGACCTTGACTTACCAATGTATGCCACTGTGTCACAGTGCTGTGGAAATGTTGCATGACAGGTCTAAATCATGAAACTAATCAATGCAAACACTTGTCTGGTCAATTAAATATTCATACAAATTGTCTTTATAACCGATAGATTTCAAGAGTAAATTCCTTGCTTCCTAAGACCGTAACCAGTACAATCACATAACACGCAGTCAATGGAGTTGGAACCGTTACTGTTGACAACTCATTTCGACACGCATACAGATATTTGGAACTGCCGTCTCATCATTAAATGTTCTAGTACAGTCAAACCCCATTATCTCCAACCTAGCAGCGACTGCATTGTAACTTTGAGATATCCGGTCATTCGAGATGACGAGGCATGGACATCCAGAGAGATTATAGATTCATCGCAATACTGCAATTTGTTTGTGCATTGTGTGTACTGTCAACTTCTGCATGTCGGAGTTTGTTTGTTTGTTGTTTAATGTCCACTCAGTAATATTTGAGCTGTATGATGATGGTCTTTAAATAATTGAGTCTGGACCAGAAAATCCATTGACTGATATCATGAGCATCAATTAATGCAATTGGGATACGATGACTTGTATCGACCAAGTCAGCGAGCCTGACCACTCAATCTCGTTAGTTGGCTCTTACGGCAAGCATGCGTTGCTGAATACCAATTGGTATTCTAAACCGGATCTTAACCAGTCACATGTCAGATAAATGGGATCCAGTTATCCAGAGCTAGGCTGTGTGAGATGCATATTTGCTCGTCTCAAAACTGTTAATGGGGCAAATGTCAACATGGACATTTCCGTGGACTGTGTCCAAGGTCCCAGATAGTGCTAGGGATTTTCATCTCAAATTGGAGATAGGGGGCAAATTTATATGCATTTATAGAGTGAGGAAGTCGGGGCCGGAGAACAGGGTCTATATATTGGTACAATCAAAGGGCTTCGACTGATTTATCATCCATCTACTAATCCATGGCACCATATTTTGGTACGTTGTAAATATTTTTCTAAATAAGACAATTTTTCATTTCTTTTTACACTGCACTCAGCAACATTACAGCTATGTGACAGTGGTCAGTAAATGATTTGAGTTTGGTCCAGACAATCCAGTGTTTGATATTATGTGCAACGAGATGACACACAATGAACCAAGTCACCGTGTCTCACCAGTCAATCCATCAACTCGCCTCTTATGACCAGCATAGGCTCAGACCTATTGGGGATTAAGTTGAAATAGATTAAGCATACCGTATTCGAAGTAATAAGCGCCCAGGGCGCTCTCAAAACTAGAAATAGGGGGCCCATATTAGAATATTATTTTGGTGGAAGAAAAAAAGTTGAAAGATAAATTTCGTGGTTTATGCTGACACACTGAAATGTTTATATGCGACAGATACATTTTTCCAGAATTTTATTGCCCATAATTAAGAATTCATATAACACATGAGTGCATATTATACGTGAATAAATAAGTCTTGTGTACATTGATCAATCGGAAGGAGTGCTAATTGGGATTGTTCACTAGCCAATATATTAGCAAATACCGCCGTGGGCGCTTATTAGAACGGGGGGCTTATTACGTCGTAAAACGTAAGCGGTTTTACATCTCACTGAACTTGTAGGCAACTTAACGTTATGACTGATTATGCATTGACAAGAGCTTGTGGACAGTTGAACGTTGAGCACAGATGAACAATGTGTCTACTCACGTCTATGCCGCAGCCAATCAGAGCATTACGATCCAGCGCCTTGAACAAGATGTTGACGATGTTGCGAGGCATGTTGGCATGCTTTCCCCTGATGACGTAGCTCTCAGTCAGGCCGCCAGTGAAGTCAGTCAACGAGTCTGCCATATTGCCCCCCTTGAGGGCCTCGTAAGATCCGTATAGTCTAAAATCAAACGGCTTTATTCACTTTTTGGAGGCTACCATGAATTTTCTCTGGAGCTATGAAAATACAATTAAATACTGCACAGACAAAGCACACAATTTTACAGCAGAACAAGACTCTGTTAAATTTATTCATCCACTAATATTTCAAAGGCTGATCTCATGGTTCAAAGCCCTTTTAAAAAAAAAAAAAACTACTTGTACATATGTATGTCTGATTGTCATGTGGACTTCCCCAAATCCATCCATTGTTTTCTCCATTAAAAAATATAAATAAAGTTAAAATACGAGATTAAAAAACAACATTTTACACACACACACAGCAACCTTTAGTCCCTGACAATCCTGTTGATTGAAACATGAGAAAATAATCAATTAGTTACAGTTGAATACATGATACTTTTTATGGATAGCAACTTCTTTTTTTCATCAGATGAAGGAGCAAGAAGTAGTTCCGAACGTTGTGGCAAAGAATAAAAGAAGTTGCTATCCATAAACAGTCTCATAATTCATCTTCTCCCAACTTCGAAATGCCTATAAAAGACTTTGTTACAGTCGCTTGAATGTTTTTTAAAAGAACGTTTTGACGCAGGAGTCCTACATCACATAACACCCTACTGGACTTAATAAAACTCCATATCCCAGAAACTTATGGTAGTGCTTCCATGGCAGTTGTCACCGGAAAAATAACAGTCAACATTCTACATTACGGAGAAAACATATTGCTGTTCTTACCAACACATTTGATAGATTTACGTGAAACTCACTTGGCATAGGCCTTTTCAAGCAAAGCTGCCCAAAACTCATTAGGCTGTGAAGAGTGGACAAAGAAAAGATCTTGGCCAACCACCGGGAGTTGGTCATCCACCACCACCTCCTTCCATTCCCCGAAATGCCAGAAGCAGAAGCGGAACAGTCCAGCATACCAGCTGTCGCGGAAGCTCTGGTCTTCCGGGACAACCCGGAAGAAGTGGTCCCGATGCTCCGGGGAACTCAGACAAGCAATGGCTGCCAGCACCCAGCAGTCACCTGGAAGAACAGTCAATATGAATGTTCTAAATTCACTAAATTAAGGTTTTGTTTGTTGTTTAATGCCCGATCAGCAATATTCCAGCTATATGACGGCGGTCTGTAAATAATCGAGTCCGGACCAGACAATCCAGTGATTAATATCATGAGCATCGATCCACGCAATTGGGATTGATGACATGCATCAACCAAGTCAGCGAGCCAGACCACCCACCCGAGCCACATACTACTTGGTGATCCTTCGTCAGTCGACCACGTTTCGTCAGTGAAGCCCCTGAAAGTCCTTACAGATATTGGTCACATGTAACACATGTGGTGTCTCCATGGGTGCGACTTTGTTCAAAATGTGCATCTGTTCATCCAGCAGTGAATGGGTACCAGGTAGGATGAAATGGCAATGTGCCCAACAGGTTGCTTGGGTTTTATACTCCCCAGGGAGCTGAGAAGGATCGTTGAGTGCACTCTGATCAAGAGACTAGGGTAACAATGGCGCTTTGAGCATGCCCTTGTGCGGTGTGGAAATATGCGCAATATAAATGGCCAATAATTATTACTCTCTGCTTGGGGTATCAGGGTACTTGTTTGGAAGTTTTACAAATTATCCTGAGACTGAAGTTGATTTTTTGTGTTTAATGCACATTGAGAAGTCATTAACTTCCCATTTCAGTCACAAAGCAACCAAATCCTCACCAATCCTTACGGCACTATTTCATTCCCTGTGCTATTTGCTTTCAATGGAGCTTGCTTTGTGACACTGCACTCTGCTCATGTCCGTATAACACCAGAAAGTGAAGCACACTAACGAATGTTAATGACATAAAATAATCCATGCTGAGAGATATATGCAAGATTCCTTCATATTGAAAACATTGCATCCAACTGGGAGATAATTCCTGCGGCATTGTTTAAAGGATGTGGCAATGGTGAGGTCCAGACCAGAAAACCAAGCATAAATATGTCTGCAAATACAGAAGGCTATAAACCCAAGATTTGACCAATTTGATGCTTGGTCTGTCATCCTAGTGCGTTTCCCACAGTAGCAAACTACAACCTCTGTCACGCCTTCTCCCATGTTAAGCTGACATATTATAGATTTAACTTCAATATTGTTTAACATATTTGATATAATAAATACCCAGGGCGCTCTCTAAATTAGAACTAGGGGGCTCTTATTAGAATATTTATCTGTGAAAAAACAGAGTTGAAAGATAAATTTTGTGGTTTATGCTGACAATCTGAAATGTTTATATACCACAGATATATTTTTCCAGAATTTAATTGCCCATAATTAAGGGTGCATATAACACACGAGTGAGAATTATACGCGAATAAATAAGTCTTTTGTACATTGATCAATCGGAAGGGGTGCTAATTGGGATTGTTCACTAGCCAATATATTAGCAAATATCGACGTGTGCGCTTATTAGAGCGAGGTGCTTATTACGTCGAATACGGTAATGGTTTTACACCGAACTTGTTCACTACATGTTCATAAACTGAACTGTAATTATAAACTGAAATTATTTTTATTATTTTAACATTGTTTTATAAACTTGCGACCCCTTCTCACCTAATGTTCCCTGTTTGACGTCAAATCTGCTGACGTCGTTGACAAAGAATCCAGGTCTGGTATTGTAGATCCTTGCAATGTCCTGGAAGTCAGAAAGGAACGATCATTAGTGAGTGAATTGTGGACAGTAGTCCAGTTAGTCAAGATACACATTTACCGCTTGATCAAAATCAGGATCAATCTGGTATTTGAACCAATGATCATAGGATCATAGCACACCTAAGGGACACAACTCTGCACAGCAAATTGCAGCACTTTGGAGGACTGGACTATCCTCCAAATTGTAGAATTGTCATTAAAGAAACTTGTTATGCCATTCAAAGAACTTATTCATCTGTGTTTGAACTCTGTCTGGGATATGTTTTCATTGATGCTTTAACAATAATTTATTGGGCATGTATTGACTTATCAAACTCCACACAGAGAAGTTTTGTTCCGTTCCAAGGGCAAAGAGTATGTGACATGAGCTGCACTTGAACCCTTCTCAGGTGTCCATGGCTCTTGCCCTCAGTCAATCGGGGAAGCTTAAATCTTTCTGCACTCAGGCCGTGTTGTGATGACCTGAATGTCAACCATTATCCCTCCTCCATGTGATCCATCTACGCGAGATGCCTCATGCTTATGACTGATATAACATTACAGATACTACCGGTATAGGATTTCCTTGTTAACGCAGGTACTTAGTGATCATGGGTGGATCCAGAAGGGGGAGTCCAGGGTTCCCTCCTTATGAAATCCAAATGTAGTACAGTAAACTACAGTTATAACGAACACGCTTATAACGAACTGACGGATATAACGAACTTACTTTTTGGTCCCGACTATTTGCTGTAGTTATGCTGTATATACGCTTATAACGAACTTCGGTTATAACGAACTAAAATTAGTAGTCCCTTTGAGTTCGTTATAACCATACTTTACTGTATATTGAAGACAGTCCCCCCTCCCACCTCCCTGAGAGAGGACCCCTCCCTTTTAAGAACACTGGATCTGCCCTTGGTGACAAACATTGATTGTATTTCTGATTTGAACGGAAATGTCATATAAACTTTACATAAATCCCTTAATTTCATAAGTTTCAATCATTCCAACATGGATGTTTGGCTTGAATGTCGACTACTTATATGTGGTGTCAGTGCAAGATGTATGTTTATCCTTGAGGAACTGCTCTGACATAGAAATTAATTTTTCCGTTATATCATGTTTCAATCAAAATTTTCAGATACTAAAAGTTTGGACGTAAAATGTTATCGTAGAGTTTGGTCTATTATTTATTTCATTCATTCCAACATATGTTCGACTGTGCAGGAAAAACAATGTCCTATTTCAGAATTGTTTTTACAAATAAAGTAGAACTAAGAGGGAAAAGAGTTTTGAAAGTCAGCATCAATGATAGTCCCAGCACTAACATCACCATCTTCCCGAGGCAGGAGAGTTAACTGACTTTAAAAGTCCAGTTTCCACCCTTGCCGAACTAGGCTGGAATTCCTGGGCTCGATCGTAGCGCCACCAGTGGCTATTACAAGTTATGTCCTTTCTATGCCTCTCCTATTGACCAATCAGATTCCACCCCTCGTATCACTTGCATTTGCTTCAAACAAAACGGTGGTGCCCAGTCAAGACAATTTGATCGATAATCAAGAACTATATTGTGATAAAACGAGTCTTACATCGCGAAGTGCATCAAATCACGTGAGCACCTTGATTAAAAACATGAAAAGATTTAGAAAATATCTGTTGACAACGAGTTAGCGGTGCACATGCTTTGCAAATCCTGCAGTCGACCGAACTCTGCATGACACTTTACGAATCCGATTTCGATTTCGGTGCGCGATTTTGATTGGACTATGCATAGACTCGTTAGTCCAGCCAAAATGTTACTCCATAATACCAGCCTAGTTCGGCAAGGGTGGAAACTGGACTTTTATAGTCAGTCAACTCTCTTGCCTCGGGAAGATGTAACATCACTGACAGAGACCAACATGTCTCACAGGCTTTTACTCCCATGCATTGGTATGGAAAATATCTATGTTATACCTAGACTAAAAATAATAGAAACACAGAATTGATATATTATCAACAAGATGGCATCTGGTACGAACATTTCACAGTTCACAGCTAAGTACATGTAATGAAACAGAGGATAGTTGAAAGACTTCATAAAATTCAAAGTGAATTTCCGTGAAACAAAACGAATAATTACTCTTCACAAGGTCAAACGAGGTGAAAACAAGGAAAACCCTAGGCAGTGTGGCCAGACCTCGGTCCAGTCAGATCACCTCAGGGGTCGGTTCCTCGGGGCTTTGTTTTTGCATATTGACCTCATCAAGAGTGATTCTTTGTATAATGTATGTATGTTTAGTAGGCTATAAAAAGGGAGGGGCTGTTCCCAGCAACACCCCAACCTTTTGATCTACGTACAGACAGCAGAAGTCACAATAATCAGGTGTCTATATACGTATGCCTTTCTGAAGGGCAAAATGGTCTTTCAACGTTCCAGGCACCATACTGCCAGCAAAAGGGGACGCTAATTGACTTATACCATGTGAGCTACGACACGCTCTGATCAACAACACAAAACCGTGAACCTAGACTCACTCCCCTCTCGTTCGAAACGAATCGTCCAAACTTACGGCATTGCACGAGCTTGAATTTCAAAGAATAACGACCCTCTGAAACAATGAACATGATGCAGCCTAATGGTATAATGAAGTATAACCGCAATATCTGTTTATTGGTGTAAAAACAATGAATATTAATGACAGCGTTGACTAATAAATAATCTCATAATCTTTGTTTATTTGTTCAATACCAGTATATTTCTGGTCATCCAACTTCAGTGTCCAGGTTCATGTTAATCCACACCTTCTCAGATGCCTGAAATTTGGCTGAACCTAGCTAGACTGGAAATAGTGAGTGAGTGAGTGAGTGAGTGAGTGAGTTGGGTTTAATGCCGCTTTTAACTGTATTCCAGTTATATCGCGGCGTGTCAGCTTAATGTGGGAGGAAAGCCCGAAGTGATGCAGGTCTTAGACGTTTACCACTTCAGTGAAACCAACGAGCACGGGTATGTTGCTGACAAACCTAGAAACATAATCGGGGCGAACCGGGATTCGAACCCACAATCATAGGTTTCTGGCGTGCCCAAGGGACGCAACTCTGCACAGCGAATCGCGGCGCCTTAGACGACTGGGCCACCGGTGCCCCCCTAGACTGGAAATAGAAAATGTCCAACTCAAATACATGACTAATGTTATGGCTTGTAGAGGTGACTTATTTCACTGATAAAAGGACCAGTAAAGTAAGGCTGGGACGGATAGCTCGGGTACTCGGGGCGGGTGGGTCCTGAGTAGGATCCAGGTACCCACAGGACTACCAACCTGTGGTTAGTCACGTGATATATTGTTTAATGACAACAACTCACTGTAGCTCAGTGGTTGCACTACAAATCGCTAATGTTTGCATTTCTTTCTGACGATGCACACATTCCTTTGAATTGTGTATGTTTGAGTAAAGATAAAGCTTCAGTCAACTTCAGTGAACTGATTGTTTGATACATGTATCTAAATAGCTTTAGCCAGGGCTGCGGTAAAACAATTCCCAATCAGACATTTCGTTCCAAACTCTTGAGACCTTCAATAGGTACCCGGGTAGGGTCGGGTAATTCAGGTGTGGGTACCCGGGTAGTAAATTTGGGCTCGTCCCAGCCCTACTGTAAAGTAAGGCTTTGGGGCTTAGCTGGATGTTATTGTATTGAAAGCAATAACATACCTCTGAGTTTCAGGAAAATAAGGGATTTCTTTAAATCCTAATTTTGAACGAAATAGTAAAAAATATCAATTGCCAGCCAAGGGCACTTAGTTTAGTATCCCAGATAAATCCCTACATCTTGAATTCAACCATCAGTTCCAGCTTGAACAAAACATGCATTTATACCTTAAATCACCCAAACCTTCAACACACCTACACCTTTATATGGCTAGCAGGCTTAGCTATGTAGTTCCACATTGATATGAACATGTGTCACGTCCCCGCCATAGAAAGCTGGGTATTTAGTAAAAGACTTGACAAGCACCTGAGTGTGTTTACAGACCAAACAAACCTGACATCAAGCGTACAATGAGGTCGTCTTTTACAGAGACGTCTTGTGTGAATGTCTTCTACCTATATGTTGTGACAAGGCAAGTTGCAGCTTTTGGACGAAATGGAGTTCAGACACAAAAATAATCTAACAAAAGCTGGAAAACTGACATCTCACCCCGACACCCTGCCTACAGAGAGATCATCTCCACAACAGCAGGGTAGCTGTCATCTCATCCCGACACCCTGCCTACAGAGAGATCATCTCCACAACAGCAGGGTAGCTGTCATCTCATCCCGACACCCTGCCTACAGAGAGATCATCTCCACAACAGCAGGGTAGCTGTCATCTCATCCCGACACCCTGCCTACAGAGAGATCATCTCCACAACAGCAGGGTAGGTAACATCTCACCCCGACACCCTGCCTACAGAGAGATCATCTCCACAACAGCAGGGTAGCTATCATCTCACCCCGACACCCTGCCTACAGAGAGATCATCTCCACAACAGCAGGGTAGCTGTCATGTCACCCCTACACCCTGCCTACAGAGAGATCATCTCCACAACAGCAGGGTAGCTGTCATCTCACCCCGACACCCTGCCTACAGAGAGATCACCCTGACACCCTGCCTACAGAGAGATCACTTCTACAACAACAGGGCAGGTAACATCTCATCCCGACACCCTGCCTACAGAGAGATCACCCCGACACCCTACCTACAGAAAGATCACCCCGACACCCTGCCTACAGAGAGATCACCCCGACACCCTGCCTACAGAGAGATCACTCCAACACCCTGCCTACAGAGATCACTCCGACACCCTGCCTACAGAGAGATCACCCCGATACCCTGCCTACAGAGAGAACACCCCGACACCCTGCCTACAGAGAGATCACCCCGACGCCCTGCCTACAGAGAGATCACCCCGACACCCTGGCTACAGAGAGATCACCCCGACATCCTGCCTACAGAGAGATCACTTCTACAACAACAGGGCA